TTTATACAAAACAAATTTTATAGTTGGTTTTTAAATAAATTTTATAATAACTGCATATAATATCAAAAAAGGTTACCATAAACATTTAAATTGATTTCCAGTTTTTATGTGTGATGTATTTTGTTCTTTAATGTTATCATTTCATAATTCCATTTTTTTTAACTTTAGATTTAACATATGACGTACTTATGCCGTACTTATACAATATAGAAAAACAAATTTGACAATTGCTATGTTTGCTTTAATTTGCTAATTTTTGTTAATTTAGTAAAAATATTATAAAAAACTTTTATATTTATTTTGTTTCATTATTTATTAATTGTTATAAAGATATAAGTTTGTTTATTTTTAATAATTTAATAAAGCTAAAAATTGCTGACCTCATTTCTATGTTCTATGGTAAGACCTTTGTATCAAATTTTTTTTGCCAACCTGATGCCGACCTTTAAAAGATTGAGGTCGGTAAATTTTTGCCAACCTCATTCTTACTGATTCCGAGGGTTGATATATATATATATATATATATATATATATATATATATATATATATATATATATATATATATATATATATATCAGGCCTTGCGATAAAGCGTCAGGCAATGTGAATTTTACGTCGCCCAAGAGCGATTTTGCTTGTAGCTAGGGCTGTTTGCGTCGAGCAAAAAATTTTTTGTTTGAGTATATTTAAAGATATTTTTGAGCGGAATTTTAATGAAGTAATTTACGATTATTCTAAAAACCGCACACAGTTGATATAAAAGTTCTAATTACAAAAAAAATAAATATGCTCATTATTTACAAGTAGAAAAAATTCAGATTAAAAAAAAGATTAAACCTTTTTAAGCTAGCATTTTAATAAAATTAATCAGCAATAGCAAAGTTGTCGATAAAATTGAACAAAAATACTTTCTTTTAGTTTTAGATTTTAAACTTAAATAATTATTTTACGGGGGTTTGTTAGGTTTTAAAATTATTCTACAGATTTAAAAATCTTTATTAACTGTTAGACGAATTTAAAGTATTTAAGAGTAATTTCAAGGAAACATTTTAAAAATTGGTAAGCGCAAATAAAAGAAAATAAAAGGATTAATATTAAAACGTATTCTACTTGATTCAATAAAAAAGTACAGTTATTAAAATTTTTGTAAAAAGTGACTCGAAAAAAATTACTTAAATAATAACAATCGCTTTTTTGTTAAAAGTTATTGAAACTCAACGAAGCGTGCTCAAGAACAGCTGCTGAAAAATAGAACGTCAATAGTTTTTTGAATAATTTTTAATAATAATTTTTAAGAATAATTTTTTCGCTGAAATATTTCTTTTATACCTAAAAGATTTTTATTCTAACATTTTATTTTATTTTACCAAAAATAAAATTCCTTGTAAACATTAAAAATCCATTCAAAACGTTCGTTAAAGTTTTTTAATAATACGAGTGATTGTGCTTAACAACCGCTTTATGAAAATAAATAAAAATAAATATTATCTAAAATCGCTAGTAAAAATATTAGCTATTGCACAGTTTTTAATTGTACAATATTAAAATTTCCAGTTTATTACTCTCTGACTTTTTAAAAAGAAAAAATAATTATTTAAAAAACTTATGTTTTTTATTCGTTTAGTATAAACAAAACGTGCCAAACGTCGAGAAAATAAAAAAATGTTTTTACATTTTAAAAAACGAAACATTCCAAAACATTTTTAAATAAAAACATTTCTACATTAATGATTTAAAGTAGTTTTGTGGTAATTAAGTAAATTGATGCAGTTAATGTCGATAAATATGAAAAGCAAATAAAAAGAATTTAATGACGTCAAAAATCACGTCGTGCTTATGCGTCGCGCAGTTTTTATTCATCACAAGGCCTGATATATATATATATATATATATATATATATATATATATATATATATATATATATATATATATATATATATATATATTTATATATATGTATATATATATATATATATATAAAGGGCGGATTTAAGCCTTATTAGGTACTGCAAGTGACGGGGTAAAAGAAAAAATATTGGTACTATGATGTCTTTTTTTTTTTTTTTTTTTTAATTATTCATCTCCCCAAGGCCTGAAGGGCCACTACAGTCGAGGAGGCTACTCCTTTTTTATTTATTTTTATTTATTTTTTGTTGTAAATTGTGGTACAACCCTCTCCCAACTCTTTAACTCCGAAACACGAACCTTGACAAGCAAGGCCGCTGCGTGGAGAAATTAAGTTGAGCGTGGTACTTCCAGGGACATGGTGGGAGTCGAACTCCGAACCTCTCGCTTACAAAGCGAGAGGTTTGGAGTTATAAATAATTTTCTTATACCCTGCAAAGTATAATTTACATTAGCTATATTATATAACAATTTTTTGCGATCTCTGTCTTACACCCACTTAACACGATTTTTCGTTATACTTTGTTAACAAAATACAATTAGGAAAAAGTTCACAGTAAAAAGTATGCTTCGCAGAGATCGCAAAAATTGTTATATAATATAGCTAATGTAAACTATACTTGGCAGGATATGAGAAATTATTTAAATAAAATTTGCTAATTTAAATTACACTTTGCAGGATATGACAAAATCGGAGAAGGTAATTGGTTTACGCGAATAAAAGTAGCCATTTGATTTGTTTAAAAATAAAACTTTTTTAAAATTTGCAGTGTAAACTATACTTTGCAGCAGTTTTTTGTTTGGTTACAAATATACAACAAAGTATTTCCTTTAAATCGTAATATAGAGTTTTCCTTATATAGAATTTTAATGACTAATAAATATATATATAATATATAACTTATATAACTTAAACCTATAGCTTATATAACTCAAACCTATAACTTAATTGAAGATGTTCTAAAAAGATAAAAACCAAGGACCTTGTTTGAGGATTTTGTAAATTGATGACCTTGTAAATATGTTTTATGAAACTTTATTGAATAAATTTATTAATAACAATAACAAAATGGTTAATAATAAATATCTTACTAATAAAAGTCATTTTATCGATGGCACAATAAAAAGAAATATATGTGCAGAAGTTTGTATCCCGTCTTACGTAAAAAAAATAATAAAAAGCATTGTATTGCTCTGAGGTAAACCACTTTACTTTTTCTTCAAAAATAATTCTCTTATTTTATTTTAATACAATAAGTTAATCTGTGTTAATTATGTAAGCAACTTGAATCTAGATATTAAAAGCTGTAGGAGTTAAGGATATGATGAAGCCAGTTCTGCCTCTGAGTATATAAATGGTCTTCCTGCTTATGTTCTAATTATAAATTCAAAGGCGCTGTATACACATTGTCATAGCTATTGTCTGAACTTATTTGTTTGTGAATCATGTAATGTCTAATTAGTCTCTGAGATTTTTTCTAATTATTAAGAATTAATTTTTCAGAAAACAGATAAAGTTTTTAGAAGCTAGTATTTTAGAGCTTAAACCTTGAATGCATAAGAAAAATTAAAGGATGTTTGCAGAACTAGATGGATTGAGTTCTGTTAACAAAGACACACAAATTAAATCTTTTACTTTTTAAAATTCCATTAGCACTTTTCAATTTATCTTTACTTTATTTTTCGTAACATGTGTCTTTGATTTTACTTTATCTGTTACTCAGTTACTGCAATCAAAAACTATTAATGTCTCAGACATTTGATCAAAAATGATCTTCTTTCTTGTTGTAAACGTTTAACTTGGTTAAACTTTTTTTTTTAATCTTTTAATATAAAAATATATATAACCTTTTTTTTAACTATGTATATAAATCTATTTTTATTTGTGTCTTTCTCTTTTCTGTTATTAATTTTTCTTTTTCTGATTGTACATGTCTGGAATGAAATATGTTCTTAGACATGCTGATGAGCCCTGATATTGTGCGAAACAATCATTTGTTGGTTTATATATTTACTATTGCAATATGTTATACCAAAATGGTAGAATAGAATCTACAGCTCTATACTCTTAATAAAAAACACTTTTTGTTAAAGAAAGTTTATAAGTAAAACTAAGATATGAGCTTCTCACTGCAATAGAAAGAAAATCCCTTTAAATCCTCCAGCCCAATGGTAGAAAGATTTAAAGGAATACATAAAGGAGTCTATTAGAGTGATTGTCCTCCCACTCCTTAGATATTTTTTTTTTTGGAGATATTGAGCACATTGTTTAAAAAAAAAAGTAAATTTAGGAGGCTGTTTCAAAGTGGCATGAAATTCGAGTAAAATTGTGTAGTGCAAGTTCTATTTTTTGCGCTTGCCTGCTTAAAAAGTCATTAAACCTGTAAATCGGTGGTCTGGATTGTCGAAATCAAAAAATTTCCCCCCTTTCACTTTTACTTCACTGTCCAAATTCGCCCTTGCTCCAGCCCCCCTCTTTTTTTTTTATTTGCCTTGTGGGCGTAGTTGCGTCACTTACAACATGGTGTAAGGCGCTTTTTTTTTTAAATTAAAAACCTGCGTCCACCCCCGTATATATATATATATATATATATATATATATATATATATATATATATATAAACTATAGCCTGCTATATATATATATATTATCTTATAGTCTGCTGCTACAAGGGAGTGTTACTACATTGACTATCTTACAGTGTGCTACTACAAGAGTGCTGCTACATCGACTATCTTATAGCCTGCTGCTACAAGGAAGTGCCGCTACATCGACTGAGGGTATGATTGGGGCAGGCAATCTACCAAATAATAGAAAAATAAATTTTTTTTAATAAAAATTTGTAAAAATGACCAAGCAAGAGTATACATATATATACATACACACACACACAGATATATATATATATATATATATATATATATATATATATATATATATATATATATATATATATATAAACACACATACACACATATTTATATGTGTGCGTGTGTGTGTATAAACATATGTATATATACATATAAGAAAATATATACATATAAATAATTATACAAAGTTTAAATTGAACTTTTATTATAAACATTACTCACTTATCATTGTTGTCCCTCCAGCGACAGCAGCCTTAGTGCCATGGTAGAAATCATCGACAGCAACTGTTCCCATAAATGGAAGTTGCATATGTGTGTGAGTATCAATGCCTCCTTTAAATAAACATCATTAAAAAGATTTGCAAAGATATGATGTTATGCAGTGCGCATTTAAGTACAAAACTTGGAATTTATGTTTGTTATCTTGGTAAATGAGGTTAAAAATACTTAGACAAAGACTTTTTTACATTTGATGATGGTTTATTTAAGGTACAAACTAACTTCTTTTTTTAACTTAATTTAGTATTAGGTCTTTGTTTAATTTTATTATTAAATTTATTGATTGATTAAATTATTATTTATCTAATTATTATTTGTCTAATTATTCATTTATCTAGATTTAAATTTAATCATTTATAATTATTATTAATACACAAATATTTACCCTATGGATGGAAGAGAAAATAGCAGTGGCAATCAAAAAACAAGGAAAAATGTTACAAAAGAGCAATTCAAATGATTAAGCCTTTAGTTAAAAGAATTGAATCTACATCAAGTATTTCCACTTCTCTTAATTTATCTAAGCGCATTTATCTAAGTTCAAAATCTTTTCATTAAGTTAAACAGAGGGGAATTTAACAACAAATAAAAAATATTATTGAATTATGCGCACAAGAAAACAATCTTTGTACACAAGAAGCAATAAAATAAAATCTTTCTACAGCAGGCTTCAACATTTTCAAGAAAACTCAAATGCTTGGATTTATTAAGAAAGCGTGTTGTGCATGTACCAGAAGAACAAATCTAAACAAGAGGTATTGATGCACGCTATGCATTTGCAAGTGAAATTAATGGAATTTCAAATGAAAAATTTATTTATTCTGATAAAACTGGATTAAATGTGCACACTAACAGCACATATAGTTAATTGCTAAGAGGTGCACCAGCAATATCAGAGTCTTCTGCAAATCGTGGCAAGAATATTAGTTTGATCTGTGCTGTTTCAACAATGGGAGTGCTGGCTTACAAATTAAAAACTGGAGACTGGAATGCAGATTCATTTTGTACTTTCATTACTACAATGTTTGCACCAGTGATTAGGAATGCAAATGTGGAAGTGCTAGTACTTGTTATGGACAATTTTAAATTCCACTGGAGTCTTTCTGTTAGGCAAACACTAGCCTCATGGCATAGCTGTTAAGTATCATTCATGCCACAGCTTAATTCAATAAAATACTTTTCTTCTTCTTTAAAGCATACTTAAAAATAGAGAGAAAGGCCTTGAAATACAGATGGGGTAATCAGAAAACTTAAAATATTATGGATACTATTTGATGCCATTTTACAACCATATGCGTAGTTACATAAATCCAGCGCTGGCTCAACGACCATTTTTTAAATAAATAGCAGTGGCAACAACCTAATTTTTTATTTTGAATATATCTATCCAAAAACATAAAAGCCTATTTATTGTTTATACTAACTATATTAGAGATTTTGTGGGTAGTTGACTCGCATATAAACATGCATATAAGAATAAACACATATATAAGAATGAATAAATATGCATTTAAGGATTATCAAACATGCATATAAAAGACGCATATAAAGAGACGCATAAAAAAATGAATAGACACACATATAAAAATGAATTGAAGCGCATATAAGAATGAATAACCCTCTAACACAATTATTATTAATTTTTGATCATTAAGTTTTAGAACCTTATTTTTATTTAACTGTAAAAAAATAAAGATAATATATTTGTGGACAACATTAAATAAACTTTTAATTAATTTATTTTTTTTTTAATTTAATTTCTTTAACTTTGTGGACAAAATTGTTTCGATTGTAAACAATAAACTTAACAATGGAAACAACATCTTCCACAAAGTTAAAAAAAACAAAAAAATTGAAATCTCATCTTTATTTTTTATTATTAAATAAAAATAAGATTCTAAAACTTAATGATGAAAAATTAAAAATAATTGTGTTAAAAAACCTAAGCAAAAAAACTTCTCAACCACACCTACAGGAGAAGAGCGGAGGTAATACTTTTTTAACCAGAATATGTTTATCTAGACATTCTTTCATCTCAATGGACAAAGGAATGTCTAGATAAACAAGTTGAGGCACATTTGTGCCTGACCAACATTTTGTGGGAAAAATAATGTAGAAGTAGCAACTGCTTGAGAAGTCTTTCAGTTGTTGCCATATTCACAGAATAATAAATTTCATGGCTCTCTTTTCTCCCCTGTACCAAACTGTAACACAGATAACTAATTATATAAATTTGAAAGCAGGAAATTTTACACATCACTCGACACAGGGTATAATATTACCAGCTTTCAAAAAATACTTTTTCAATCTTGTTTTTATAAACTGTCAACACACATAACAAAATGTATCTTGCTGGATGCAAGTAACCTCTTGATGCCGTTCAAATTAAATTATTACTCTGGAATATTTTTGGAAGTTCTTGACTCTTTTGGAAAGTTGTCGGACCAATTCTAGCAATTCAAATGCTTTGGAAAATGTTCAGTATTCAATACATATCGAGAACTTTCTTGAAAACACAAAAATTTCAAAATATTTTTGTGAAACAACAACTTTTATTTATTTTAGGCAAACAGGTTAGGAAAACACTAAAACTTATAACTTTTATTTTAATTAAAACAAAATAAAAATTTTTATATAGTGTTATCCAATGTTTACAACAACTTTGTATAATTAATTAAAAAATAAAACAATAACTATCCAACTTTTACAAGAATAGTAAACATTAAATCCAGGAATAAATAGAGGAGATGTAAAAACATGAAATCTTTAATTACATGACCAAGTAGCTTAACTTTTTGTGTAGATCTACTTTTCAGTTCATCCCTAATTTTTTTTGTGATTTTATAAATAGCATTAATAATTGTTATAAATTTTTACAAACAATTTATACTCCATACTATAAAAAATCTTTTCCTGCTCTGAAAATTACATATTGTTGATGAGCACAACACTTTATTTTATTAAAAACAATTATTTTATCTTTCAAAAAAGTTGCTTGTACGATTGTTGCACACCTAACATGATTTATTCTGAATCTCAAATTAGAATAAATACTATAGCTGAAAAATAGAAAAACTAACCTGGCATAACATATTTTCCAGCAGCATCAATCACTGTTGTACCTTCAGGTGCAGTTATATTTGGGCGTACATCTCTAAAATAAACTAGCTGCAATAAAGAATGTATCTTTTTAAAAAACAATATATTTGTATACAAATCTCACTAAAAATTTTTAAAATTTTGACTTAAAAAAGAAGTTTATAGATAAAATCTTTAATTAATGGAAAAACTAAAAATTTAAGATTGTAAGAATAACACTTATCTATTAGAACTTATTACCGAATGATTCCATCTTCTATATAAACATCAGATTCAAACATACGGTCCTCATTTACAACAATTCCGCCACGCACCAAAAGCTTGTTGGAAGCTTGCTATAATGAAAAAAACAAAAAATTTATAAACTGTTACAGAAGAAAATATTTTAAAACGTTTAACTCATATTTAAAACTTTTTTTCAGTAAGAACAACAAAAAAAGAGTTTTTCAGTGAAAAAAAAAACACAATAATATGTGTGTACAGTTTTCTTCAGAAAACAAAAATTTTGATAGAAATAAAATAGTTACAAGAACATCCAACATTCAAACTACAAGATTAACATAAGTGTAAAAAAAAAAAAAATTCAAGCACAAAATCATAACAAAGTGACTTTTCCAAATAGTGATCGAAAAAAAATTTGGGAAACCATTATAAAAATTCTTTAAAAAACTAACAGCCATTTATTGCTTCAAAAATTCTGTTGTAAATATATAAAAGTAACAAAAAAACAAAATAAAACAAAAAAGTTAACAACAAGTTTATCAGGTTAACAATATAAATTAGCTTGTGATTGTGATTAGTAGAAATTTAAGTTACCCAAAAATTATATATTTAATAAATTAGCTTAATTTCATTTAAAGGAAAATGATCAAGGTAAAAAAGATTTACCCACACTTTTAACCTTTTTTTAATACTAGATAATGTAATTTATCTGACATTCTATACAGATAACACCATACTTGTAAATTTACACCACACATGTAAGAAAGAAAGACACGTAAACCATACAAACAGGAGCGCACAAACATCCCTAGTAGTAGCATTTTTAACTTCACTAAATAACATCAACCTTAGAGACCAGAAATCGTGTCACAACACCTTTAAAGCAAAAAACTCAAAGTAAAAAAAAGCTTTAGTAAAAAAAAGCTTTAACACAAATTAAAAAATGCAATCAACCTATATTCAGGCTTGGACAGGAACGACGTGCAATCAAGCGCTATTGCTGACTATGCAAACGATTTTATAATTTGACAACTTGACCATGACTGTTTAGATGTTTAGTAAACATTATAGAAATGCGCTGACAAAAAAACGCTAGCTTGGCTAGTTAACTTAAACTAGGAAAAAAATGAAAAAAAAAATGAAAAAAGAAATTCCTTACGAAAAAGAAAATATGTAAGCACTAAAATAAAACTAAAAAAACTTAAAGCGTTATTACTTCTTTTACCTTTTTAATTGAATTAATTGAATTAAAATAAATTACTTAAAAATTTATCTTTTGAAAAGTTTTAATAAAGTTAAGCAAATCGCTTTTACAAATTCTTCTCACTCAATTATCTTCGCTTCCAACAAGGCTGCAAGCAACCTTTAACTAGTGTTGGAAGGTACTGGAAGAGAAAAGATGAAGATTGTAGAGCAAGATAACGATTGACAGACGACTTAAAAGATTGCAAATTATATGAATCAGGATAGCAAGATGAAGGAAGCAAATTCCAAAGAACTGATGTTCGAGGAAAAAAACTAGACGAATAAGAGTTTTTGGAGCACTTAGGAACAGTAACAGAAAAAGGATGAGACTTAATTGAATGACGAGTAACACGAGAATAAATTTTAGTAGAGTGCACAAGAGACGCTAGCTCTTTAGAGCAGTGCCCATTATAGTATTTGTAGAAAAGAAAAAGAGAAGCAACATTATGACGATGTGACAGAGGTTGAAGGTTTGCTGCAAGAGCAGGTCAAACTATGTTTACAATGCATTTTTGCACCTTGTCTAAAAGAGAAAGGGCATCATTAGAAGATCCGCCCCAGATATAGCAACAGTATTCCATACAAGACCGGACTTGAGATTTATAGAGATAGAGAATAGAATCCAGAGTAAGAAAGTGTCGAGCTCGATAAAGAGATGCAACCTTAGCAGATGCTAATTTTGCAATGGATTTGATATACGGTTTAAAAGAAAGATCAGAAGTAAGAGTTAATCCTAGAAGATGAATGGTAGATGACTCATCTAGTACATTACCATTCATAAATATAGGAAGATCTAAATTATTACGATAACGATTGGCCGAATAAAATTGAGTTTTATCTGAATTAAAGTTCACCAGCCACTGTGAGCCCCATGCTGTAGCAGAAGTGAGATCCTTTTCAAGCTCAGATGCCCCCTGCAAGCAATCAGAGGGAGTTGGCTTCTTATCGTGACAAGAATAAATGGTAGTATCATCAGCGAACAATGCCACCCTAGATGTGAGAATATCTGGAAGATCGTTAATGTAAATTAAAAAGAGTATAGAGCCAAGGATTGAACCTTGGGGAACTCCTGAGGTTACAGAATAAGAAGAAGAGTGCTGTCCATCAAGGACAACTTTTATACTACGATTGGAAAGAAAGGATTCAATAATCTTAAAGATGTTTCCAGATACACCATAAGAAGAAAGCCTATGGAGAAGACCAGCATGCCAAACTTTATCAAACGCTTTAGAAATGTCAAGAGCAATGGCCTTAACCTCTCCACCTTTATCTAATGCACGATAAAACCTATCGGTTATTACTGATAGCAAATCAGCCGTAAAACGAGAAGGTCGAAATCCATATTGATGATCAGAAAGTAGGTTATGAGATTCGAGATTCGAGATTAAGTGTTTGTTAATTAAAGATTCAAAAACCTTGCTTATGATAGGAAGAAGACTAATGGGACGGTAGTTAGATGAATCAGATCGCTCTCCAGAATTTTTAAAAATAGGGATAACAGATGCTGCTTTCCAGCAGGCTGGAAAACAAGACTCTGATAAGCACTTGTTAAATAGTTTTGAAAGGATAGACGGCAGCTCCGGAGAACACTTCTGCAAAACTATAACAGGTATGTTGTCCAGGCCCAAGCTGTAGAAGAGGGAAATCACTTTAGATACAGAAGCTGGAGTGATACGAATGTCGAGCAATGGATCAACCTGTTTGACGGCTATATCAGGTAGAACGCAACTAGTGGCACCAAGAGATGATATTGATGAAAAGTTCTTGGCAAACAATTCAGCTTTGTCTTTAGGTGAGGTGACAAAGTCTGAACCATACAAAAGAGGTGGAATTACAGACTTGCCCTTATTATTGATACTATTAAAGATTCTACAGAAGTCACGAGAGCCTAATTTTTGTGATGAAATACGAGATTTCATGATCTGAGAATAGCGGGCTTTGGCGTTAGACAAAACCTTTTTACAATGGTTCCTAGCAGTAATAAACAGACGTCTGTTTTCTGGAGAATTGTTTTACTGATAGATATGGAAGTAATGGTTTCGATTGGCAATTGCAGCAGCACAATGTGAAGAAAACCATGGAGAAGAGTGAGGCTTGACCTGGAATTATCAAGAGGAAATAAAAAATTTCATGCCAGCCTGAATCCACGAAGTTATGTAAGAAGCACATTTGTCAGCAGGAAGAAGAAAGATTTCTACCCAAGAGCCATCACAAAGAAAATCACGGAAAGAGTCCCAATCAGCTTAAAGGTAGTTTTAAAATGCATAATGATAGGGGGATTCAAATGATGAAGTAGAATGAGATAAGAGTTTTAGAGAGATAAAACCGTGATCAGAAGCACCTAAGGACAAATGTGGAGAAACTGAGCACTGACTAGGATCAGAAACAAGACATAAGTCGAGTAGAGAAGGTAAATGATTCGGGTTGTCTGGAAAGCGAGTTGGAAAGTTGACTATTTGAGTTAGGGATTAAGAAAGACAAAAGTTGTGGACCTTAATGTCTGCAGAGTCACTGATACTAGAGCCAAGCCATTCAGTGTGATGAACATTAAAGTCACTGACGTCAACATATTGGCTGATGGATAAAGGGCTTGGTCAATATAATCAGAAATAACATCAAGAAGAGTGCAGTCTTGAGATGAGGGAGAGCGATATAGAACAAAGAGAAAGGTGATAGGGTGAAGTGGTGCTAAACGAAAGCACATAAAAGAGTAGTGTGCGGATTCAAACCTAGTTTCCCGACAAATGGGTGAATTCTTACGAATGTAAATGCCCAGGCCAAGCATGTGACTATTGGAGTCTTTATAAATTAAAGGAAGATAACCATCAACACTAAGATCACAAGATGAGACAGCTGAACTCAAATTAGTCTTACAAAGAGCAAGTAGGTCTGGTGAACTTTGCAAGAGATAAGAATCAACAAAAGAAAAGTTACTTCGAAGACCACGAATATTGGTGAATGATAGGTTTAGCGAACTTGGTGATGACTGTGAAACATAGATAGTACTCAGTACACTGTTTTATAGCTCAAGCAATTGCCTTATTTCCACTAATAAACCCTTAGCCGTAACAAAGGGCTCCAATGTGGCCTTGGCAATGAACACCAAAAGTACAAACAGGGACACCATCCATGCGCAACATGGCACTGTTAGTACTCTGATATTTTTCAGCTGTTGATGGAATCAGCCTCTCTGAGAGCTACCACAGAGTTCAGGAAACCTGACTACTAGCCGGCCTCAGAACTATAAAACTGAGTTTTAGAGCTGTATCCTCATATGAAGATAATAGAATGAGTTGCCTAGTCATAAAAACAGAGACACAAGCAAAACCCATGAATTGAGTCAAGAAGATCTAGCGTTCAACATCCTAAACTGGAAACAATGTATTAAAAATACATCTGCGCCAGCCTAATAGATGAAGAAGGGGTGCGAGGTTGGTCAACAGATAGAATCTGTTTACCCCTTAATTACTTCTAATGATTGTTTAATGAATGAACAAATTTTATTTAAATTATTAAAAAACCGTCAATTTTTGTCCAAAGTTCGAATGAAGAACGAAGGGGGTACCAAAAGTTTGCCAGATTGAGGGGGTACTGCTGCCCAAATTTTTTTCCTAGAATAGGCCTTAATATATATATATATATATATATATATATATATATATATATATATATATATATATATATATATATATATATATATATATATATATATATATATATATATATATATATATATATATTTTAAAAAAAACAATTCACAAAAAAAACAAAAATTGTTTAAAAAAATACCGTAGTCTATTTAAAACAGTAATTTTTAACCATTTCAGGCTCTAATTAGTTAGTCAAGTCAAGTTAAAATAAAAAAGTT